AATTCCCATGTTTGGAAAGAAACCAGGGCAACTGCCAGCACATCCACTAAATATTTTTCTTTGCATAAATAAAGCTTGGATTAAACCTCCTGTAGTGGGAGGTTGTCAAGTACAGCAGTGGCCATTTTCTCATCTTTCAGTTTTATTTGTTCATAAGACATTGCACATGTGTAGAATTAGATGTTTCTATGTGCTTTTTTGGGGCAAGGGGGAGGGTGTTTTTTATTAGTTAAATAGATTGCGGCACAGTTGCTATCCTGTGAATCTGAACTGTTTTACCTGCAACTCCTCAGTTCAGTGTTTTACGATTAGGAAGGATGTTCCTGGCAGGTTGTCAAATACAAAACTGAAGTGGTCTCATAAAAAATTCAGCCTTTTTATTGAATTCATAGAATAGCCTATAAAACATTAGCAGTTACTGTCAGATATTAACACACACGCAAACACACTTCTCTCTCATGCAGCCCCAGAATATGAAGAGTGGAAGGTAAATCTGAAACATTTCAGCATATTCTTACATAAATCTTTAAAAAGTCATGCACCATGTCAGAAGCAACAAGAGGTGGCAGAATATTAGATTTTCTAAAATACCTTTAGCAATTTTGCATTGCTCTTAAGAACAGGCAAGGATATTCATTTTTTCCCATTCTGCTTCCTATAGTATTTCCAGAAGTCATGCTAGACTGTTCCCTGTTTGAGCTAAGATGGTTTATCCCCCACCCCATTCCACTTTTTAAAAGTTTTTTTTCTTCAGTAAAATAGTGATGGAGTAAGGCTATATTTATATGGTCGTATTTCTTTTATAATGTTGCTCCAATCACCAGAATATATATCCCTGTCATAGCACCATTTCTTTTTGGCAATATATAAAATTGTTTTCATTGTGAAAAAAAAATACAGTAGTAAAGATTTGAGGTATAACTTAAAAATACTAGATAATTTTGTTCTAAGTTAAACCACTTAATTCCCTCCAGTACATATTAACGGTCCCGATACAGCTGGAGGGGGCCTTTTGCATGGTGTGCAATAATCTCAGGAAGTGGAACTCTTCTTCCAGCTGCCGCAGTGGAATTTATTTTCTCCCCTTCCCTCTACTTAATAGCTTATTTTCTTCCTGCAAAAATAAAAATGAAAATGATTCCATAAGGGCGGCTGCTGGCTGGCAATGATGGATTGATCACATAGACAATATGTGGCCAATAACCAATAGTGCAGTTTTTCTCTAAGAAGAGTTTTGCCTTTTCCTGTTTGATTCATGAGCTTCCTTGTGCAGAGACTCCAAAATGACTGTTGGGTTCTGTAGGAATCAGCATCTCATCAAGGCTAGAAGAGAAGAATTTGCTAGACTGGCTTTAAGAAGCAGCAGCAACAAATAGGAAAAGAAGCCCAGGGACTCCCATGAATGATAAAGACTACAAATAGTTCTCCACTTGCAACCATTCATTTAGTGATGGAAGTTAACAGCAGCACTGAAAAAAGTGACTTATAATCATTTTTCACGCTTAATGACCCCTGCACCATCCCCATGGTCATGTGTTCAAAATTTGGATGCTTGGCAACTTACGCTGATGATACGCAGCTGTACATTTCCACCCCAGGCCACCCCAACGATGCCCTTGACGTGATGACCCGTTGCCTGGAGGCCCTACGGGTCTGGATGGGGAGGAACAGACTCAGGCTCAACCCTCCCAAGACCGAGTGGCTGTGGCTGCCGGCGCCTCGGCATAGTCAGCTGACTCCATCGCTGTCTATAGGGGGCGAAATTTTGGCCCCCTCAGAGAAGGCACGCAACTTGGGTGTCCTCCTGGATCCACGGCTGACACTGGAAGATCACTTGTCGGCCGTGACCAGGGGGGCGTTTTATCAGGTCCGCCTGATCCACCAGTTGCGTCCTTTTCTGGACCGGGACGCTTTGCGCACGGTCACTCAAGCTCTCGTCACCTCCCGCCTGGACTACTGCAATGCCCTCTACATGGGGCTCCCTCTGAGGAGCACCCGGAGACTTCAACTGGTCCAGAATGCGGCCGCGCGGGCGGTGTTCGGAGGGACTCGTCGCTCCCATGTAACACCGCTCCTGCGCGAGCTGCACTGGCTACCAGTGGTCTTCCGAGTGCGTTTTAAGGTGTTAGTTACCACCTTTAAAACGCTCCATGGCATCGGACCTGGTTACCTCCGAGACCGCCTTCTGCCACAGATTTCCTCCCATAGACCGGTACGCTCCCACAGAGTGGGTCTCCTCA